TATCTATCTTTCATCCAGTGGACATATAAACAAACTGTCGTATATCCATGCAATGGAATACTTTTCAGGAATAAAAAGAAATAAACTACTAATATATGCAACAGTGTAGACATATCTCAAATACATTATACTACATAAGTATTTAAAAGAATGTATGATTCCATTTATATGATACTCTGAAAAGGCAAAACTAAAAGAACAGAAATCAGATCAGTGGTTGTTGGGGTTGGAAGTACAAGGAAGGATTGAATACAGAGGGGCCTGAGGGAAATTGGGGGGTGGTTATAGAACTAAATCTTAATTATGCTGGTGGTTGCACAACTGGATGTTTGTTAAAACTCATAGAACTGTACACTAAAAAGGATACATTTTATCCGATCTGATTTTTTAAAGATAAAATGGGAATTTTTAGCTCATATAACTGATAAGCCTAGGAATAAACTGGCTCTTGCACTTTAACTCACTCTATTTTCTTCTCTGCTTTCATTCATGGGCATAATTTCTCAATAAACTGGCCAGGTACTTCCAGGCTTATATACTTAAGAGTTTAATAATTCCTGAGGAAAGTAAGTTCTTTGTTCCTTTTGATTTTATCACAAGTACTTGGCCTAGTTGATTGGTTTGGTTTGGATCACATGTCCATCCCTGAACCAATCTCGTGGACAGTAGGCTGTAGTGGTGATTGACTATGCTTGGGTCATGTGCCTACCTCTGAAGGCCATAGGTAGTGGTCAGTCTAGTTTTAACCATGTGGATTGAGCTAGGAACAGGTGGTTTCCCAAAGGAATGTTGAATATTATGATCAAAAGGGACATCCTGGGGCAAGTGAGAAAACAGAGCAGTAGGAGGCAAAGCACTGCTTTCTTTCCAAAGCAAATCTACTTGCCTTATTCGCATGACTGGAAATTCTGACATGCTTCCTAAGGAGAGTTAGGCAACTTCTCTTGAGATTTTTCTGCATGAATAAATTCATTTTATGTCTGTAACTTATGTTAGTTATATGGTGGCATCTATTTGGAATAATAAAGTTAGTGGTATATTGTATACCTGCTTTACAGGTTATAATAAAGGATAATAGTCTTGTGCTGACACCATCACACATCAAAGCCTACATGTTGATGACTCTTCAAGGGTTAGAATATTTACATCAACATTGGATTCTACATAGGGTAAGGTTTTTAACCAAGTGTGATTGCCTCTTTATGTTGTCAAATTTTATGTAGCTAGTAGACCATTACATAAATGGTCTGAATATGTAAATTGTTAAATAAAGATATAGCTGGATCATTTTATCCCACGTTTTCTGTGTGTGTGTTCCCTTCAGTTGTTCCACCAGGTGGTGTTCTGAGGACTCTAAATTACTATGTGAAATTTAGAAATGGAAGAGACCCAGTCCTTAATATTTTTCATAGATGGTAAAACTAAATTGCTAAGTGACCTGACCAAGGTTATATATATTTTCAAGGTCAGTAGCTGATAACTGACAGCATTAGAACCTAGATCTTTTGGCGTTAAGTCCAGTATTCTTTGTGCTATACAGTTGTTATAGGGGGAAAAATACAGTGAGAGTCTGGATTAAATTATACAATGCTAAAATATTATACCAAAGGAATGTTGAATGCTATTATCAGAAGAGGCATCCTTTTGCCTTTTAGAAAAATAATATTTCTAGTAGTCTAAAATTCTATGAAGTAATGAAGTAAAATTTCTGAAATGGTTGAGTCATTGTTCCAGACATTCAGCTATTGGAACAGACTGAGAATTTAGATAGGTAGATGTTCTTAGGTACCCCGTTTAAGTCAATAGTTAATATGTAATTTATAGTTAGTAATTCTCATACCTTTAATTTGGGGTCCCTTTTAGGTTATTGCTAATATCTTCTTAGCATAGATTTTGATAATATGTTCCTCATCCTTTCTAAATGTACAGTGTTTTTATTTACTAAAATTCATATATATATGTATTATTGTTATTAAATTAATGGCAGCGATCATTTACCAAGTTCTCACTATGAGCCAGTCATTACACCAGGTTCTTCATAGAAAATTTAATCCTCACAGGAGCCCTGTAAAGTAGGTAAATTGAAATTTAGTGAAATTAGATAACTTCACCCAAGGTCTCACTGGATAATACGACCAATCTTGTTTTGCTTTGATAGGATTTTTACATCAATGAAAAAAATATTGATTGTTGTTTAATTTGGGGCATTACTGTGTTTTTACTAAGTTTAAAGTTATGCCAACTAAATGTATTGTTATAGTAGTCTCCCCGACCCTGCTTACTTGTTTGTTTAAAACCTCCATGATACAGGATCTAAAACCAAACAACTTGTTGCTAGATGAAAATGGAGTTCTAAAGCTTGCAGATTTTGGCCTGGCCAAATCATTTGGGAGCCCAAATAGAGCTTATACACATCAGGTTGTAACCAGGTAAGAAACCCTTAAATAACTGCAAGCTTTTATTGTTCAGGATATTAATCACAAGGGAGCATCGTTTGGCTTCTCTTGGCAGAGTTCAGAAATTGTTGGTGTTTTGTTAAAAGTACAGCCCTTTTTATGTTGTGCATANGGAGCAATCACTTTCAACTCCTATAACTGTTTCCTCTGGTATTTACTTCCATTTCTTTAAATAATGTGGTTATATCATTTCTTGAGTGGTTTTGAATATGTAATTCAAAAGCTTAAGGGGCAAGGAATGGTAGGTACTTGGTCCTTATACTATTACATTTGCCTTCCTGATTCATGATTCCTACTCTCTTCCTGCCTACTAACTACATATGAGTTGCTACATGTTTTTGCTGTCGCTAAGTTTTTGAAGTATGTGTGTTACGTGCGTATATATGCATATTTTTATACATATTCATTAAATCTAAATAACTTAACACATTTTTAATGTGTTTGTTTGATTTTCCTCTACCAGATCAAACTTGGACATAGATCAGAAGCTAAAGATGGTAAGTATTCCATATTATTTGACAGAATAGGAAAGGTTTTTATTCCCACTGAGGAAATAACAAAGCATTAATTAGAGTTAACAGTGGTTCTGGATAGAGTTATTGTAGGGTCCCATAAGAGTAAAGATAGACTCAGAATAGAGACAGGATATCTGTGATTTCTACCATTCAGGTGTAGAGACGATTATTCAAATCACCTTAGTAAATGGAGGGCAACAAGGTTATTAGTGGCTTATCTTGCTGTCTTCATTATTGTTTCATGTGTTATAAGTCATTGTTTCTTCTTTTTCTGAGCTTCTAATCATCTTGAAAATTCAGGATACACTTTCATGGAAGTACACAAAACTCACTATGAAATAGATATATGGAGGAAAAAATTTGCTGGAGTGCTAAGTCCTGTTTAGACATCAAGAAATAGTTTCTATAAAAACGACCCGTCATCTGTGTAACAACTAGTACCAGATCATTTTTTTTTTTTAAGCTGAGCCATCCTGCTACCTGTTGGCAACTCAGCGGCTGCTCAGCTCGGGCTGGACTCGAACCGCTATTGCTCAGAGCTCAAACTCTTGAGCGAGCTCTTAACCAACTGAGCCACTCGGCCGGCCCTTATTTTTAATTTTGAGTTCTATCTTTTGCATTGAGAAAGATACTGTCTTATCACTAGTCTGCTGTTATTATAAAGAACCTACTGCCAGTATTCATAGGGCAAGAGAAGGGAAGCTATTGACTTCCCGTCTATATGCTGCACACTTATGCATGTTATTCCAGCAGTCTTTATTTAGATCTGATATGCTACAGGTAAAGTGAATATTTTTTTCACCATTTACTATTGTCTGTGTAAGCTATTTTTAAAATGAAACAATATAAAAGAAGATAGATGTCATTAAAATTGTCAAAAGAGCCCTTACTTTTCTATAGAATATTCATTGCTATTTCCTGAGAGACTCACCTTTCTCAAAAAGATGTTTGTGAGACAGTTGAGAATTATTTTTCACCTTTTGTTTTGTCTTTTTATATAGGTATAAATAGAACAGCCTTAAGAGAGATAAAATTATTACAGGAGCTAAGTCATCCAAATATAATTGGTGTGAGTATGATGTAAGTTGTTTCTGGGATTTGGGACCCTGCCTTTTTTGCATATGGTATGTAGACTGAAGGCTCAACAAAATGAGTTGTTCTAGGCAAGACTTGCAAAAAAGCTTAAAAGTAATCAAGCTGAAATGTATTTTCTGTCCAAATTGTTCCTGTAGGCAGTGTCTTTAAAACTATACGACTGATGAAATAAATTAAATATTAGCATATAGGCTAACTTTGTCAGAAGTCACCTTGAAGCCTAGACAGCTCTAGCATGTGTAAGACCTAGAGCTAATTCCCTTGCAACTCTGTGCCATAGTCCCTACCTTATGGAGTTGTGAGACTAGCTAATTGAATACATGTAAAGTACGTGGAATAGTGTCTGGCCTAGAGAATACACTCATTCAATGAATGATAGCTGCCACTGTGATTTATAGGATTTTCTTAAGTCAGAATTATTCTGAATTAGTGACGGGGTGAGGTTTTCATTACGTTATTTCTTAATTATAACTCCCAGAATTTGGGGGAAGAAGTTAAGTATTTAGCGATTTTAAAAAAATAATAAAGTGTAATATTTTTGTGCCTCACAGTACTAATTCCTAGCAAAAAGAAAGATACATATCAAATTTCATAAAAATATTTAAACTTTTCAGAGAATTAACTCTCAAATGCTTGTTTAAATTTTTAAAAATTGCTTAATTGGAATAATACTGTCAAGTATTTAATAGAGAATCACTTTTTTTATTTTTTTATTTTTTATTTTGCTTTGCAGCTCCTTGATGCTTTTGGACATAAATCTAACATTAGCCTTGTCTTTGATTTTATGGAAACTGATCTAGAGGTAAGATTAAGATTCCTAAAGGAATTTTTTTTCTCTGTTTATCAAAAGAGAACCTAAATATTTATTTTCTACTTATGAAGATGCTAGTAGTCAAAGAATGCTTAATTTTGTTGAAATCTGGAAATACTCTTAAATCCAGGATATTCTGAATCATTTAGCTATGTTCCCAGTGTTAAATACAAAGATTTGGATTTCATTAGCATTTGTGTACCA